AATGTAATTATTTTTTTGTAAATGTAAGTACTTTTTTGTTATATTTGTTTAATTTTATAGATCTAAATACTTTTTGGTTCAAAAAATATTTAGGGGCTTAATCGTTCAAAATATGAATGTTCAGTGGGTTTTTTTTTCGGATTTTTTTTCACTATTTTACCACTTTAACTAGTTGTACAAGTCATAAGAATGTATCAAACATGTTTTATAAAAGTTCAATAAGTTATTTAACATGTTTTGGATTGTTCAAGTACTTATTTGTTTCAAAAATTGTCCAAGAAGTTATTTAACATTTTTTGGAATGTCCAATGACTTATTTGTTCCAAAAATTGTCCAAGGACTTATTTAACATATTTTGGATTGTCCAAGGACTTATTTGCTCCAAAAAATTGTCCAATGACTTATTTAACATGTTTTGGAATGTCCAAAGACTTATTTGTTCCAAAAAAAAGTATAAGGACTTAATCATTCCAAACAAGAAAGTCTATTGGTTTTTATTGTACTTTTCCCTAAAAAAAAATTGTCTCATGGGTAATAACTTCAACCTTAAAGTTTCGTTTGTGAAGGTAAAAAAAGCCGAGCATTCACAACAAAAACACTGTGAAAGTTAACTTCAGTGTTTTGCTATGAGGTTTCAAGTGTAAAAAAATAATCTTACAGGTCTCATGAAAACAAACTGGTCTCACATGTTCCCATGTTTATATCTATCTATATATAAGAGAGAAAGAGAGAGATATCCTAATCCAATAATCTGAATCTGATATGTGCATTCTGCATTCAATATATATTAATTTACAGACGATATCTGAAAATATCATATTTTAAAAAATGAAGTTATATATGATCATAAATTAAGCTTTATAAATCACGTATTTTACAAACATTGATTTATTGCAGACGTAAACCAATCTAGAAATCTTATTGATTATCAAATCAAAAAGGAGAGAAATTAAGCAAAACTCATTAGGGTTTTTAAATTAAAGATTTTAATCAAACCGCGAGATGGTTGATGAGATACAAAGCATTGCTGCTAACCCTTGCAAGACTCACAATGCTGTTCCTTAACTTCTTCTTGATCGCCGGACTGACTTTCCGATCGGAAAATCCGTCAAGACACGTATTCTCGTCGGTGATGGCGGCACTGGTCCACGTCTGAGCATTGGAGATCACGAAACTCTTGTCGGTTGACTTAGGAAGACCTGAGATCGCCTTGAGGGAGCTTTTGATTTCAGCCATGGAGTCTTTAAGATTTTCGATACAGTCTTTGAGAACTGCAGACTCCCATTTGGTGATTCGTTTGGTTTTGGCAAACTGAGAGACGGTGGCGAGGGTGGCGTTGGCGGATTTGAGGGTGGTGGAGAGGGCGACGTTGACAAGTCTAAGTGGGCTGGTCTTGACGGCGGCGGCGTAAGGGAGGAGGGTTTTCCGGCAGACGGTGGGGTAAGTGGCGGCGTTGCATGAGGTTTTGATGAATGTAGAGTAAGTGTTTTGGGAAGAAGATGAAGCTTGGGCTAAAACAATTGTTGCAAGAAATAATATTATGAGGAATTTGGGTTCCATATTTGAAGACTGTTTGAGGTGGTGGAAGGAGCCAAGAAATTGCTCAAGGATTTATAGGAGGGAAGTCTTCAAGGAGTCTCTTCAAAAACATACATGTAACTCTTAAAACCACTTTTTATACGTAAACTACTATTTATTTATGTATATTACTTAAAACTCAAGATTGCAAGTAGATTGTGCGTAAGTACAATTTATTAAAACTCCATATCTGAATTAGTGTAACTAACTGCAGATAAATATAATCAAACACATGATACACTTCTCATTTTAAATATATAAAAAATCTAAAATATAATTAGGATAATCATTGAGTTCTAACAGAATACTTAATTATTATCTTTATAAAATGTTTTATTATTAAACCAAAAATAAGTTATTTCGTTATTAAAGTTAAATTAAATTATAATAAAAAAAATAAATTAAAGAAATTACATAAAAAATGAATTTTTTTTAAATAGTTGATTTGATATTAACATTGATATATTTTTTTTTCAGTTTTTTATGATATCTTTAAATTTATATTTTATTCAAAAATAAAATCATTATTGCTTTCTTAAAAACACATAAAATCGTATTATAACATCGACAGAGATAAATAATTAAATAGAACATCAAAATCAAGATGTGTATCGCTGCATTGCGTGAGTGTTCTTCTAGTCAAAATAAGGGAAATCAGTTCTGATAAATTCAGTGACCATAATTGTTGTGTATGTCTGGAACCGAATCCTGGACAGATGAGATATTTCACCATATCCTCGTGACCTCAACCACTACGTCATAACCCTTTGTGGTTGGTTCATGTTATTGTCATTTGCATCTGAAAAATAAATAACATATAATGAAAATATTGTTCAATTATTTGTTATTGCATTATTGTAATTTGTTACTAATATAGATACATCCATTCAGAAATGATATATTGCTTTTGTTTTACAAGCGTAAGGAGTTACTCGTTCAAAAAAATGTTCAGGATCCAATCGTTCAAAATATGAAAGTTCATTGGGTTTTTTTAAGGCTTGAATAATTTATTAGTCCAATCTGTTTTAATTCAGTTCAATCACCAAACTTAAAATAAATCAAATCATAACATGTTGATGAAATGACACTCTTCTCTTGTTGCAAATCCTATCCAAATGTCGTTTGCCATCAGTTAAAAAAGACAATAATATAATACCAAATTTTTAATACATAATAATCTTTTCATATATTTTTTATTAACCTGGATATCCAACCTGTTATGCGAGCCGACTAATTCCAGGACGATCACTTGTTTTGCAGATAGCCCGGAGTCACCGCATTTAAACCTCCATGGTTACAATGGGATTTTATTACTCATTGGATTTGAACCTGAGACTTCCAGATACCTTTTACCTTTGGACCCAAACTCAAACCAATCAAGCATCACCCTTATGGTTCTTTTCATATATTTTATGACAATATAAGTAGATAATTTTTTTTGAATTTTAATCATATTATTTTAAATCAATTATTAAAACTATTTATATGTTCTCTTATTTCCATGTTCACAACACCTATTATATGAATAATATTTTAAGAATTAAATATTAAATAAATAAGAGTTGAATTAATATCATTTTAAAAAAAGTGAATTGAAATTATAAAATTATAAAACTTGTAAATAATATAATTAATGATGAAATCTTTAAACTAAAAAATCTGTTGGAATTAAAGGTAATTTATTTTTGAATTATTTATTTTAAAGAAATTATAAATAAGATGTTGGAGATGATTTAATTAGAAGTAATTGGATTATGAATAAGGGATTGTTTGGCAATTATTGAATGGTTTTGTGCAAAATGATTAAGTAGTCATAATGATTAAGAGACTCTCATGATATAGTGCAAAATAAAATATAATTGTTTAGTAATTGTGTATAATGAAATTAGGGCTCTTAATGGTTAAGAGAAATCCATGATAAAAAACCATTCAAAAGGTTTTAAAACCATTAAGAGACAGATTTTTTTTTTGACAAAAAAAAAATTATCTCTTAATAATTCGAATGTTGTCTTTTAATAAAACTATTAAAAAGATAAACATATAACCTTTGAATTTGAATTATAAAGAATTGCTTAAAAGATTTCTTGAGTTTGGCATGCGGGCGTGTATGAATTAGAGGCAGGCATTAAGAAGGGGAGTGATAGGGTGCATGTGGGAACTACGGAGCCTATGAAGCAGAGTAACGTGGATGGACATGATATCACAAAAAAGTCAAAAGCCTCCATCTCATCCACACTTGTGTCACGTGACTCTCTCGTGAATTCCTGCTTGACAAATGCCGCTTCCAATGGAATGAACACACACCCTATCACAATTAACGCCTCCTACCAAATTTTATCTTTTTATGTTAAAATAATCGGTTTTTATTTGATAATTTTAAAGATTAAGAAAAATATTAGTCTTATTGGTTAAATGAGATTTATAACGATATTTACCGGATTAAACAATCGTGAAATCAACAAGACGAGTTTTTGGTTTCTAATGGGCCAATGAACAACGCTATATTAGCCCCCTTATTGGTTGAATTGGATGCGTGTATGGCGACCTAAGGCACCGACTTGAGGTTGCACGCTAAGATCACCAGGTTCCCAAAAAGAGTCGTTAGTCAAGATGTTCGAGGTTGCACATACTACAACGGTTAGGTGACAAAACTTGTATCGTAAACAGTAAGTCCGACACAATTCCATACGACTTAGCCATGTGCAGCTAGGTCAGACCCCTCCAATTGCTAACATTGCCAATTATGTACCGAAACATTTGGATGGAACTAGTTCAATCTTTTTAAGCAACTCAGGGTTGCAAATAGGCTGCATACACCTCTACAATAGATGTGCATAAAAACCTGATCAACACGAATAATCCAACCTGAAATAATCCAAGCCAACTAGAAGCGACCCGATGCTTAATCAAGTTATATTACAATTTCAACCGTAACTTCACATTTTTATTTAATCAGTTTCAGTTCAAAATTCAAAAGGATGTTATATCAGGGTATTTAACTTGGAAATTTCAAAATTCGGATTAAATTCAAATTGGTTTTTATCATAAGAAAAGAAACAGAAACTGGCAGCATTAATCACTGAGATGTCCTACAACCCCACACCATAAAGGCTAATAACCCCTTTCTTCTTCAAAGAGTAACTTGTCCCTCTTCAATATCCAAAGTGTCGTTTTTTTTTTAATCTGGATATCCAACCCGCTATGCGAGCCGACTAATCCCAGGACGACCACCTGCTTTGCAGATAGCCCGGAGTCACCGCATTTGAACCTTGTGGCCACAAGGGGATTTTTATTCCTCCTTGGATTTGAACATGAAACCTCCTGATACCTTTGACATTTGAAGCCAAGCTCAAACCAATCAGGCACCACCCTTGTGGTTCAAAGTGTCGTATTTACATGTTTTTGTCCAATTTTAGCATCATTAGAACCCTACTTCAAGATCAATTAAACGTTGGTGCATTAGTAGTAACCTATACTTCCTTTTTGGCGTCCAATTATGATTACAGAAGCACGTATATGAGTGTGGTCTGGGTAAATGATGACCAAAGGAGTCTTCCCTTCCTCACTAACGAAGTCAGTATCTCAATCAGCATCATTTGTCGGTTAAAGTGTATGGTAAACAACCTTACCTCTTACCAGGTAAGTGTCTCTTACCCAATAAGAGACGGTCAGTCATTGGTACATATATTTGAACTGAGCAAAACTGTTCCTTACAGGAAGTTTAGAGTGGCTCGTGATGGTTCCAAGAAGCTCGAACCAACATCTTTCGCAAAATATACTCGGACTTGTTTTGCTATCTTAGCCAAGACTTCACTTTTAACCTAGATAAGAAGCCAAATATATTATATATGTAAATATATTACAAGAAAGCCATGAGTCTGGCTTTTTGGGAAATAAGCATTCAAGTGGAATAAATATTACTAATGAGAGCCAAAGCATTGCTGGTTAATTCTGCAACATTTAGTATATACCCTCTGATGGTTTCCTTCATCTTGGCATCACCATTTTCTTCAAATCCATCCATGCATGTATCTTCATCTGTCAAGGCTGCACTCACCCAAGTCTTCACATCCCCCATTTTCTCCTTAAAATCTGGACCATCCAACTCCCTCATTGCCACCATTGATTTCTGCATCTCATCCACTGAATCACTCATGTCTTCCAGACAGTCCGCCACCGCCTGCCCATCTCGCATACTCAACCCTTCCCCTTTCGACAGTCCTTTCACAGCTTTTGAGGCAGATTTTGCACTCTTCAAGCTCACGATCAGGGCCACATTGGCCAGTTCCATAGGGCTCGTTTGGATGGTGTTGGCAAATGGGGACAGGGTTTTGAAGCACAAATCGGCATATCTTGTGGTTTCACATGAGGCCTTGATGAAATCTATTTGGCTGGAATTGGCTTCCATTAGGAGTCTTGAAGTTGCAGAGATGAGAGTGAAGTTAAAGATGGCTAAAAATAAAAGAGATAGAAGTGAACAAGTGAAAGGTTGCATTTTTGCTTGTGGGTGGGTGTGGTTTCTTGAGTTGTGTTTGCTATAACTATAAGAGAAATGAAAAGGGCATAAAGTTAAAAAAGGGTACTACTGTCCTACATGTGAACTAGTTGTCAAAAATCATTGGTAAAGACAAGAAGAGATGATAAAATACCTTATCATGTGATTCCCCTTCCTCTTCCTCTTCCTCTGTCATTCTGTGGTTCATCTATCTCTGCATTAAATTTAAATATTCAAGGAAAGAAATAACAGTAGCAATAACTAAAAGCTAATAAAGACAAACAGCAAGAAACAAATGGGAAAACTAGAATCTTCTTAAAACTAAAAGATAATAAAACTAAAATCACCTTTCCAACCCATCAAGATGAATTTTTTAACCCTTTTCAATATCATTTCTTAAAACTTCAAACCTATTCAAGCTGACAGTACTCTCACAGTCACATCTTCGACTTTTGTTATTGCAGACAGTAGGATTTAGAATAAGAGAAGAGGGGCAGGCCACCTATCACCAAGTTATAACCTTAAAGAAAAGATTACAAGATGGATGTATGGAGAGATTGTACCGTATAAATTACGTCAACATAACTCAGTTTTGAGTTCAATTGAGGGAATACGACACCACCAGCCTCCTTTCGTTGCTTTGACTCGGATTTCAAGACTATCTACCGACACATAAATAACTTCATAATTAACAGTTGCCTAGCAAGTTGATATGTTGCAATCTTCATGCCTTCCTAGACCCCACCCCCCTGACTCCAACTCTGTAACTGTCTCAATTGCACATTAAACCAATTGCTTAATCATGTCGGCAGCTATTTCAACACTACTACTTTTTTCTAAGATTTTTGGATGAATTATTTGAATAGTTCATTTAAAATCCTAGGAGAGTCCTACTAACTCAAGTCCTTGGTGTTTTCTTTACTGAAGCTACTTCTAATAGGCTGTTCCTATCCAAAAGAACAACCAGCCAGAGTGAGAAATGTATGCAAGATTAAAGTTCTCTTCCTTAACCACTAACATATGGTGGACAAAGGTGCACAATTTTCACTTTTTAGGACCTACCACAGAGATAATTTGGCATGAAATTAAAGATATCGGTATTTCACATTTAAGCATATATCCTTCGAATAAAGACAACCATTTAAAATTTCCTTCTCTTGTTCATACAAATTATAGGGTTTTTTCTTATTATTGTGGCAATTCAACCAACAAGAACATCAAAAATATGTAGCAAGAATATTAGAAAATTATCAAAGGAACCAAAGGGCCTTTGGTCTAGCGGTATCGTAGTCTTTGGTCTCATAGGAGGTCAGGGGTTCAAACCTTACCAAAGGTGAGGAGGGTGTGTGAGTGTATTTGTTGCTTTTGCCGTATATAAATATTATATACTTCAAAAAAAATTATCAAAGGAACTCTAAAGCACAAAATGGAAAATGTTGCACAACCTAGAAGGTGAATAGGTTCTTTAGCACAATTTCAAGTTCCATATAAATACAAGCAAAAAGTGGAAACAAAAAGAGCAATCTCAAGAGTTTGAATCCACCAAATAGTACTCTTTTAGGCAGTACATAAACCAATTACACAAAGAGCAATCTCAGAACTTATTCTTTCAATAAACAACCAAAAATTTGAGCCAAAGATCAAATGTACAAGTCAGCAATTCATAAGGTGCAATGACAATCACTAATTTGTAAATTACAAATACGAGGCTAAAGTGATCAATATGATAACAGTGGAAGGGCATTGATTGCAGAAAGTGTAATAAATTCATGATTGTCAAGAGGAAATTTTCAAATCTGAAACTAGGGTCTGCAGACGTCCATATAAGTCGCAAAATCTAATTAAACAGTTGGCTATTTACAACCAGCAACAACTAATGAAGACACTACACACTTGAAATGAGCTCGTCATGAATATTGGGGGCTTGTTTGGTCCATCGTCAAAACTTTAACCTAAATAAGACCTTTACACAAGGATATATAATGTATAACCTAAAGCCCCTTCATGGACAAAATGAGAACCCCCTTAATAGTACCTTATGTCTGTTTCATGGAAGTTTTTCTAGAAGTAGCAGAGAGCGGTTTAGACCATTAACAAAACTCACAGGAACCAATTAAAGTGAGAAATATAGCATAAAAACACTATATTGAAGATAGGCAAACATTTTTCGGGATAATCAAGTGAAAGTCAAGAACACATACAGACCCGATAATGCAGCTAACTTTCTGAAACATTAGGATGGTTCCAAATTCACCAGCAGAAACCGAGGCTTTACAAGATCACTTTGGCGATGCATTTCATGGAGAATAAATACTGTTGACCATCAAGCAGCCCTAAGAAATCCTAAAGATCATGATGTAATAGTTCCCATGGACAATGTAGCCTCAAAATTTTCAGACAAGTTCACACACATCAACAAACATTAGATTGTCAAGTGTTGACAGGAGAATAAATATCCAATTATGACAGAAAAGAGGGGCAAAGAACTAGATGGAACGACCAATTTTTCAAGAGGTTTCTTCTTTGATGGTGTAAGTAGCATGTGAAGAGCTCCTCCCAACAGGCCAACAATATGGAGGTCTGAAGTAAAAAACTGAAATACCCATCAGCCATACACTGTAGCAGGGTTCTGTTTTTGAAAGCGATATGCATTATTTTATATGCACACATTTTTAGAGATATCCAAGGCCTTATCAACGAATCCAGTTTCATACAATGGCTTGGGTTTGGCGTAGTAGTCAGTGTAAGATCTTAAGAATGCGTTGTACTCTTGGTAAGATTGCATCAACCAAAAAAAGCGACTAAAAAGTCTAATTACATACTATTAAATCCTTCAATATGAAGGAGGATGGTTCCACCATCAAGGGGAATAGCAAAACAACAAATTCTACTTCCATGACTGCCAAAATACTTGCTTTGATCAACAACATAGCGAAAGTCAATGTAAATCCAGAATTCAAAACTATTATATTATCGATAAATACATGATGAAAGAGAGTACGACAAATAGAAGGTGCAAATCTACAATTTCTACTACATCGCTGACTAACAGAAGAAGAGCACGCATATACACCTGAATCAAGAGGATTTTGGAGTGAGTGGATTTTCATCGGCTACGATTGTATATAATTAGGGTTTAAGACGGGAATGAAAAACTATGTCGAGAAAAGAACAAAAAACTAACAGAGATAATTGTTATGGACGATCAATCTGTAGGAGAAATCGAACGTCGATTCCCAGTCGCCGCCGGTTACCGGCAGTTCTCTCCGACGCTAGGGCGTCTTGGGAGTTGCATTTCAAATCTTAATTCAATTTTACATTAAAAAAACTAAACAAATATAAAATAGGGTGTTTTGGGTGTTCTAATTTTGTAGCAAAACAGACCAATTAATTTGTCGATCTATTATTGAATCAATTTAAGCCGAAGGTTAATGGTATCTTTAGTATTAACAATGACACCTCTAATCGATACTATATTATAAAGTATTTTGATAAAAAAAATTAAAAACATATTTTATACATGAAATACTATTTATTAATATATATTATTTTAAATTCAAAATTGAAAGTGAATTTTGCATAAATATAATTATCAAGCTTTATATTTGAATTCGTGTAACTAACTGTAAATAAATAAAATCAAATACATAATAAATTCTAATATAGTAATATAATACTTAGTTATTATCTTTATAAAAATTATATTATCAAACCAAAAACAAATTATTTCGTTGTTAAATCTAAATTAAATTATAATAAAAAAATTGAATTAAAGAAATTACACAAAAAAATTAGAACTTTTATATATTTTTAAAATTTTTATGATATCTTCAAATTCATATTTTTTTTAAACATTATTGTTTGCTCAAAATTACATAAATTCATATTATAATATCGACATAAACCAAAAAAATAAAACGAAACATTAAAAACCAGATATATCTCGTTTCATTTTGCGAGTATCCTTCTAGTTCTTATATAATCATTTGTTTTTTTTTTATCTTTTGTTTTTCATTTATATATGATTTTAATTAATATAAATTATTTACTAATTCTTTTTTTTTTTTCGTTTTTCTCTCATATTTATTTATATTATATTTTAATTATTATGAATTATTAATAAATGTATATATTTTTTATATCATTTATATTATATTTATTATTAATAAACATTTCATTCATATACGCTTAGGGTTTTTTTATTTTTATTTAAAAATAAATAAATACTTATTAATATAAATATTACTATTATTTTTTTAAATAATTATATAATTATAAAAAAAATTTGACATATAAATAAGACATAACATAACTTATATTGCATTTTCACTTATTATAAAATAACATTATATGTAGTACAATTAACACGTAAAAGTTATTGAGACTTATTTATTCGATCTAAATACGGAGTAGTCCATGCAACAACACATAGATATGGACTATAGGAGTTTGCATTGTCATTTTCTAAACATCATATTTAGATACAAAGCACATAAACTACACCTATTTTACGATGCATTATTTTACAGTTTCGAGATATTTACAAGTTGGAAAATAACTCAAATCACTTATTCGAGTCGGGTTTGTAGTTTTGAACATTATATCACACCGCAAACACTTGACCATAGTATATAAGCTACTAGTTTTTAAGAATATCGAGCTAATAAAGTAACATGTTTAAAATGAAATAAGAACCTTATTATGAAAAATTAACATACAAAGGTAATCGATGAAATCCCATAACATTTCATGAGACCATAGGGGACTTTAATTATGAAGATTAAGGGATCGTTTATCAAAGCACTTATTAGGTAAGTGAGTGTGGTGACTCTTGTTACATGATAAACAATTACCATTAATCTATTTTTATGTCTATAAACGTTATCTGATCAAATAAGTGAAGGTAGTGATTTTTGCTGGGAAGCAGTCAGCTAGTAAACCTTTTGTATAGATAGACCTTCGGTCTTATATCTACATATACTTTAAGAATTATTGGTTAGGTTATAAACGTATCAAATATAACTCATTAACTAGCCCTGATAATTCATATATACGCAACGTATAAATTGTTGTGTATAAATAAAAAATTAAGGCCCCAAATTAGTCGTTTAATTTTCCTTTTGGACTCGTTTTAGTCTACTGCACCTCAAAATATCAATTGGTTTAATGATGTTATTTGTTTTGAATATATTTTCCTACTGTTTTGCAGAAAAAGAATTTGGAGTAATAATTCAATACTTGTAATACTGTTTCTATAGAAAGTAATTAAAAAGTTTATTTATCATAAAAAACATAAATTTCCAGAAATATTATATATATATATATAATAAGAGAAAATTGTATGCGTAGCCGTTCTAGCTCAGTTGGTAGAGCGCGTGGCTTTTAACCACGTGGTCGTGGGTTCGAGTCCCACGGATGGCGATATTTTTATTTTTTATGGTTCAAATATGCATTGCGACCTCTTTTATTTTTTATGGTTAAAACCATTTAAAATCTGCTATGACCCTTTACGTGAGTAGCAATTGGAATTTTTACATACATATATATATTTATACTATATTATAAAATATTTGACAAAAATTCTTAAAAACCATTTTTATGTATAAAGTACTGTTTATTAATACATGTTAATTAAAACTCAAGATTACAAGTAAATTGTAATTTTTTTACATTAAATAATTATTAAATGCTTTCGTTTATTTTGTTTAATTTTATTTTTCATGATTTTTTTCTATTAACTTTATTTATTATTTAATAATTTTTAGAATGTTTCCTAATTTTTCTTAATCGTGTTAAAAACTTCTTAAAATTCCTTTGCTATCAACTACCTCTCAAAAGTTAATAGATGTAGGGAATTCATGAGTTGAGTTGATTGGGTTAGAGACATTTAAACAACCCAACTTAATGTTTGCGGTTTGAAAAATTTTAACCTAACGTAACTCAAACCGTAGGAGTTGGTCGAGTTGATACTTTGATACATTAAAACATTATTCTAACCTTGAATATGTTATTTTTCTATTCATAATTTATTTTTCATCATCAACCATTTGATACAACATATTCATATTTCTTAAATCTTATGTATATCACATTTAACTAATTTTCCAATTTACATGTATATGTTCACAGTTACTGAACATATATACAAATGAGTTATATATAGATAAACAATAGATTGAAAATCTGTGTATATGAAGAGTGTACGTGACAGTGTAATTGTCTAACCTATATATTAAAAGACACTCAACAATCATATTAAATCCAAGATATACAAGGATATCGAGTTGTGTTGAGTTCAAATAATATATAATAACCAATTTCAACCTTATTTTTACAGTTTGAAAATTTTACAACTCGATTAGACATCCGATTGCTTCAGATTGAGTTATTTCGTGTTGGATTGATTGAGTTGGTCGGATTTTTGTAACATATTTATGAGCATTAATAGTACGATATAAATATCCATTTAATTTTTTGTAATTATTTTTTACTTCGATGTATATTCAAAACTAAAAGAATTTAATTTTGAATTTAATAATAAAAAACCTAATAAATAATATAACTAAAAAAATATAGGGTTAAATTCAAGTTTTTGCTAGGATCTCCAAAATGTTAGGATCCACCTAGCTACCACGTATGTACAGAAAGGTTACCCAATGAGATTAATTAAACATTTAAATAATTTTTTATGCATACGAAGGAATAAAAATTCTCTTGTGGTTATAGAGATTTAAATACGGTGACTTCAGGCTACCCGCAAAACAGCTGATCGTCTTGTGATTGGTCGGCTCACATAACGAATTGGATATCTGGATTAATAAAAAAGATGACTAACAAAACATGTAAACAACGTTTATGGGCACAAAACACTGGTACTCAAAATAAAACTTTAAATAACATTTGAGTAATATGTAGTGATTTTTGCGAATTTATTTGGTCAAAGTTTAAGTGAAATTAGTAAAATTGAAAAAAAAAGATGATGTTAACGTTTGAAGGTTGTAATTAGATACGATGAAGTAAATATAAAATCTCAAGATTTTAACTTGTTAAATTAACAACCACCATAACTTATTATTCACCTTTTTATTTAACTTACATTACCATCAATTTTCAAGATTAATTAATTTCTTCAAACACAAATCATCTTTTCTTTTATATTTTATATTATATTATATATATATATATATATATATATATATCATGAGAATGTAAGAAACAAAAGTTACGTTAAGATTTATATATGAATTACTAAAAAACTACGGGAAAATTTTATTTAAAGATGTGTACATGAACTGACATAAAAGATTATTCATATGGATTCATAACTATATATTTAAATGAATTTTTTAAATAATTCAAATATGAACTTTTAGTTAACCTTTTTTTCTCATCATACTTAGTTTTTTACTTCCATCTCTGACTTCATTCATACACACACACACACATATATATATATATATATGGGCTTATTAAAAAACTAATTTAGTTTGTGATAAACGTAAGATTCAATGTGAACTACTCGTTTGAGATATTTAAATATATTTCTTAAAATAAACTAAAAGGATAATATAGTTATTCTATTTTTGACAACTAAATAACTAATCAAAATATTTAATTAAATTTTTTAAATATTTAATTAAAATTAGTTACCTAATATATCAATTACCTAATATACATCTTATTTTAAAAACGTTTGTGAATCAAAGTGTATCATAATGATAACATTCACATGTTCACATACATCACAATATATTTTTTCTTTGTTTTAGGAAATGTATTATAATGTGCATTTTAGTTATTTTCATTGCTTTACAAATGATGTCACATTGTACATCTTGTATGTATATCTGAGTATCACAGTATGTATCTTGTGTTCACATAAGGTTTATCGGAGTAAGGTTCACCGAATAAGATTCGTCAGAGAGAGATGAGAGGGGAAATTTATAAATCCCTAAAATTCCCTTAATCAATATTTTAAGTTAAAATTACCAAAATTATTAAATTCATAATTTAATCTTTGATTTTGTAGTTGAGATTAGATCTCTCTTTACTATAAACAAAACAGTTCTCATTTGATTAAGCATAATATATATATATATATATGTAGAGAGAGAGAGAGAGAGAGGAGCGTTCAAATAAAAACTTGCCCCATTTGTATAAACCATGTAAACCAATCTCATCCGTCCATTTTCTTGATCAATGGCTAAGATTAGTTTACTTTATTTTAGAAAATTAAAAAATAAAGAATATTAAAAAATTATTTTATTTCAATGATAAGGGCAAATTGGTAAACAAAAGTTAACATCAATATAACATTAATTCCATAAACAAAAGTTAACATCAATATAACATTAATTCTATAAACAAAAACTAACATTAATATAACATCAATGAACCATTTTATAATGAAACWTTTTCACATTAACATTAATTCCATAAAGAACAAAATATAACATGCACCCGTTTCATCATATATTTATTTCATAAAAGAACACAATACATTACGTACCTGTTTCTTTTTCATCCTACCAACTAAACGGATCAACTTCAATCAYAAAGCAACATGGATCACCATGAACCTAGATGTACATTCAATCACAAAGCAACAAGAATAACCATGAAACTTTAATCACAAAGCACCTATTTCATTAACACGTATAATATGCATAGACGGAACAAATAAACCATTTTACAATGAAACATTTTCACATTGAAACAGTTTCATCACCATTGTTTTTTGAACTTTGTTTATGAAACTATTCATTACAATATTTTCATTAGGAAATAGAGAGATTATATTGTTTCGATTTTTCAACTGTTTTGAAACGTTTGATGAAACCGTTGCATCAATAGTTCATTTTCCTTATTCCACTCATATGAACATGATTCATCATTATGAACCTTTTCATTATGAAACAATTTCATGAAACCTTTTCATTAAAGTGGATAATATGCCTAGAGTATTAATTTGGACAATATGCCTAGAGTATTAATTTGGACAATATGCCTAGAGTATTAGATCATGAACATGCTTCATCATTATGAACTTTTTCATTATGAAACAGTTTCATGAAATTTGCCCCATATGAACCTTTTCATTATGAACATGCTTCATCATTATGAAACATTTTCATTATGCATTTAATATAATATGCAACCGTTTCTTCGTAATGAAACCTTTTCATATGAACATTAATATATTATGCTATGGTAATATGAAACTTTTTCATTTTAAAACCTTTTCATATGAAACAGGTTCATAACCGGTAATTTTTGATACAATGAACCTYAAATCATTCATTCATTACATAACAAGATAAAATTTTCATGAATGTTTCCAGCTTCATTGAATAAAAAAAAACAAATCAATTTTTAATATTATAAAATATTAAAATCTTTAAATCATTCCATTTATATAATTTCCATTATTAAATTTCCTTATTTAATATTCCTTAATAATTTTCTTATTTATGAAAAAAATAATGAAAATGACCAAAGTGACCTTATTGATTAAATTTAATTAAAAAAATGGAATTTTCCTATTGGTTGATTTTGGTTTACACGGTTTTTTAGAATGACATGGTTTTCATTTGAACATGCCCCTATATATATATATAGTTATACTTTTTGATACATAATTAATTCCCGCCATTAATCGGTGATTTTTGATGATACAGAAATCGAACATACTTTATTTGTAAAAGAAATATGATATAATGTCAACTTGAGCCAATAATTTTTTTATAGGAATTAATAGAGAAAAAGTTGACAAAATCACATGGGAGGAAGAGGTTCTGGTTCCTAAGAATATGATGTTTGAAAAGCGAATTTTATATATATATATATATATATATTTGTCAATTATTAATTAATGAAGTTGAAGTTGCTTAGAGATGATTTATTGTAATTATATATATATATGGTTTTGAAAACAAAAATTGGAGAATATTATTACAAGAAATCATCTTGTGTACGGTATCGACCACCATTGTTGTGTTGTTGCTTACTTTTTACATCAACAGCCGCCGGATAATTTCCACATTTTTGCAAGCTTCATCCACATGCATCAATGTTTCTGTTTTTACTCCTTTTATTGAGCCTTGTCCTACAAGTAATCATCTCATAAACATATGATTTCATTTGAAATCCTCGAGATCGGTTAGTTGGCATTTCACGAGATTTCGTACGATTTCTATGTAATATTGTTTAGAAATATGTTTGAGAAGATATGTTAATTTTGCATTCTGGGAGAGTTGTGACTATATTGGCTTAATGGTGTCTTAAACACCCCCTCACTCCCTCAGTATATCTATACTACTTTATAAATCAGATTTATTAAAAGTCTTAAAAACAATTTTTAATACACAAAGTATTATACATTTAAGCACAAAGTCTTAAAAACAGCTCATTATGCATTAAGTACTACTATTTTATACATTCAGTCTTAAAATCTTTTAATCTACAATTAAAATAACATATAGTACAAGTTACCGATGCACATTATTATCTTTTCTTTTCATGTTCACAAGATATTTTTAACACATTTCACTCATGCTTTCACCTTCTCATACCTCTATGTTTTCTCCCCATCCCCCAATGTGATATTCAAACTGATATTCACCATGAGTTATTAAAAGTTCTCTCATTCAAGTGCTCTAGAACTCTCGGTCTCGCTCTCGATCTCTTGATTCTTTGCTCATGGTGTAAATCGAACACATTTGTTGAGTTCTTTAAACATGTTGGATTTTAAATTGTCATATATTTTTTTCATCGATAGACTGTAATTGGAACCATAACTCTTATTTACTCAAATTGTATTAATATGTAAAGACCAAATGTAACTTATATCATCGTTAAATTTTATCTAATAAAACCAATAAAACTTCAAAATCGTTAAAATTTACGGCTCCCATCGCATTAGTTATTCATAATTAACATATTAGTTTTGGAGGGAACGAAGAGGAGGACGACCATGGTGCATCCAAATTTACATGTTGCAATGATGGCTTAATTAATGACATATTAATTAACACCTTCGTTAATTAATATTAATCCAAACCCACTGCACGATTCTCTCTCAATGAAAAAAATGGCAGCTCGATCCGTATAACAAGGATCTCACCATTAATAACTTAACACGTTTCTAGGGTTTTCCAATGTCAACTTTCACTATACTTCCATCATACTTTTCGTTATATAATATAACCATCATCATCGTCATACATACTATAAATTCAAACCCCATCACATATTTTTTGGGATCCCTCCTCAATATCCACTTTTAAACAAGATCAAGACACACAAAACCCTAGTAGTCATCAAATGGCTAAGCTATCTTTGTCATTTTTGTTGTACGTATTTGTTCTCTTTTCTTCCGTTTCTTTGTCTTTACAAGAAGTAGAAGAAGATTCGGGCGGTGACATCAATTGGTGGTGCGAGACGACTCCTCATCCACAACAGTGTAAATACTTTCTGAGCCGTGGGACCCATCGAGTCCCATGTCACAGGAAAGACTTTCGGATGCTGATTTTGCAGGTTGCTTTGGAGAAAGCCCAAGAGGCTCAGGCTTGCACTAACGGCCTTAAGGAAAAGTGCAGGAGCAAACGAAAGAAGGCCGTGTGGCTTGACTGTGACAAGCTCGTTAACGACACTATTCTCCAACTCAACCAAACCCTAATTGGCCTGAAACACAACCAGAGCTCAGACTTTGATGCTCAAACTTGGCTCAGTGCCTCCCTCACCAATCTTGAAACCTGTTTTTCGGGTTCTCGAGACTTTAACTTGACAAACTTCGTGTCTCCGATTAAATCCCATAACCTCACGGAGATGATAAGCAACGGTTTGGCGATAAACCAGTTTTTCGTGAAGCAAAAGTTGGAAAGTAACGATCAGAATGAAGATTTTCCAAGTTGGGTAACATCCCACGACCGAAAACTGTTGCAAACACCTTCGCTTCGCACGAAGGCTAATTTGGTCGTGAATCAAGCACGGGGGAGTAAGTTTCGAACGATTCAATCGGCTCTAAAATATGCAGCAGGCATTAACCGTAGAAACAAGAGATATATCATATACATAAGAAGAGGAGTTTATAGGGAAAACATTGAAGTTGGAAACAATCTGAACAACATCATGTTTCTTGGTGATGGAGCAAAATACACCATTATTACCGGTTCCCGGAGCGTCGGCGGTGGTTTCACAACTTATAGCTCGGCAACCGTCGGTAAGATCAATTCTTCCTTACTCCGTCCGATTACTTAATCCCAAATCTTTCTTGTTAATCGTAATTATTTAAGAAAATAGTCAATGAATTATAATAAGTAATGGTTTAAGTTTATACGTAATGCTATGATCAAAGTGAAGTAAAGTAGATGATTAATGTGTGTAAGAAGATATATATGCATGGTCTTAACTAATTAAGTACGTTGCATGCCATTTCTTCACCATGCGAACCGACTAATCCAACCCGAGGGTTGGGTTCACGTGAGACCAGACTGTTTTCGTGAGATCGCATTTTTACACTTGAAACTTCACAGCAAAAACATTGTGAAGGTTTAAAAAAGTCGAAACTTTACAGCAAAAACATTGTGAAGGTTTAAAAAAGGTCGAACTTTCACAGCAAAAACACTGTGAAGGTTACCTTCACAGCATTTTGTTGTGAAGTTTCAAGTGTAAAAAGCTGGTCTCACGAAAACAGGCTGGTCTTACGTGATCCTAAGTCTCCAACCCGATAAACATATTGTAACACTTTTACATATGAACCACAAGTATTTGGTGTCGTATAAATTTATCCTATAAAGCGGTTTATTAGGGCATTTAGATATTTTTGTTATCTTGTAAATCCGATTTTATTGTAATGAATTTTAATAATTCAATTAATTATTCTAATTAAATCCGACGAAATTCAGGAGTTGATGGCATTGGATTCATTGCCCGTGGCATAACATTCCGGAACACCGCCGGACCGGCAAAAAGCCAAGCCGTAGCTCTCCGATCATCATCCGATCTTTCGGTATTTTACGCTTGTAGTTTCGAAGGTTATCAAGACACTCTCTTTGTTCTAGCTCAACGACAATTCTACAAATTTTGCTACATTTATGGCACCATCGATTTCATATTCGGGAACGCAGCCGTGGTTTTCCAAAATTGCATGATCTTAGCACGAAGACCGTTGAAAGGACAAGCAAACATTATAACGGCTCAAGGCCGTGGCGATCCGTTCCAGAACACGGGAATTTCAATCCATAATTGCCGTGTGATACCAGCACCGGACTTGAGGCCGGTGATGGGTTCGGTCAAAACGTATTTGGGCCGCCCATGGCAAGAATATTCGAGGACAGTTTATATGAAAACTTTCCTTGACAGTCATATTAATCCACAAGGATGGTCATCGTGGGATAATACCGATTTCGCGTTTAAAACGCTGGTTTACGGGGAATATGCGTGTTTTGGTCCCGGTTCTTCGACAAGAAGACGTGTGAAATGGCCGGGATATAAAGTTATAACAAGCAAGAGTGTGGCATCTCAGTACACGGTGGAGAGGCTGATCGCCGGCAGGTCATGGCTGCCGGCCACCGGGATTCCGTTTAGTCCAGGATTGTGAGATGAATTTTAAGTCATATGTGTTATTTATTTATTAATTATTTGTGTACATTTTTTGATTTGATATTGGAATCAATACAACTCGTATTTATTCAATAAATTTGCTAATTGTTCTCGTTTTAATGAACGAATTTAAAAGTTGGGCCTTATAAATGGGCCTTAAAGATGTTGGGCCGATCATTAACCCACAAGGAAGAAATCCGAAATTTTTAACAAATCATAGGGATGAAAATTGTAATTTACTCATAACATTTTTCTGTTCTTGCAGTTTTAAAATTACAAGATGTCCATTATCATTTGAAAAAACGTCCGAGTTTGATCACTCTTTCTAACTATCGTTAAAAAGTTCCATTAAACCATAGACATTTTCGTCATTTTATCGGTCTTTTTGTCTTTTACGCAATTAAAAATCACACGAACTAAAATCACATAATTGGTTTTGATTGGATAAAAAACAAAAAATTGATAAAAAGACGAAAATACATCTAACTTGACAGAACCATTTAACTATCGTCAGAAGACTGGACCAAATTTGAATGTTTTTGCAAACCATGATAACGACCTTATAATTTTGAAACTGCATAAACAAACAGTGTTAATTTTGACGAATTATAGGGACCAAATTTGTAATTTACTTATAAAAACATTTCATATAAATATTTAAAGAAAATCAAGGGTGGGGGAGAAGGTGACGAGGGGGAACGGGGCTGGTTACAAATGAAATGTGGGCCCAACAAATATTGAAAATGCCGCAATATTATTGGTTGAGTTACGATTCAGCCACCCACAGACGGCCACGTTAATCATACGGGTTTGCGGGCCCACCTTTCTTTCCATCTGGCTACAAAAAGGACAAAAGCAGTAATTTATCATGATCATATTAACTTAATCCACATAATTAACTAGATATGAGAACAAGGTTTTTTGTGAGACCCGTAATTAAATTTTTTATTAATTAATTTAACGATCATTTTTCTTACGATAAACCCTTGTTTAATTAATCCTTTAAATTTGATTATGTTCACCTTAAAGATAGCAATTAAGTTGTAATTAAGGTTTTTAATCTTAAATTACAATTTACTTATTAATAATCATACTTGACAATGAACTCTTAGTGTCGATTGGGTGAATTGTTCATATTTGACCTTAACTATGAGATTTGGCATCGGGCTGTTGCTAAGCTGCGTGTATCGTTGTTTATTGTGAGGTTTTTAGATTTATGCCTTTTGGACTTTCAGTATACTTTGATGGGCAACTAATTAGCTTAAGTGAGGGTGGATTTTAATTCATTCTATTGGTTATTTACCACTAATCGAGTAGATAACAAATTTTCAATAGAGCAGATCGATCCAACATAGAAATAAAAGCTACTTTCACACTAGGTTTAGTAAAAGAAATCCTACTAAAAATGTTAAGTTATATATATATATATATATATATATATATATATATATATATAAAATATGTTAAACACATTAACTGCTGTGACATTCCACAGTAAGTGTAGATATGTGCACAAAGAGATAATGTCCGGTACGATTCATCTAAGATACAATTACATTAACAAGTCTTGTGATATGCGTTTAAACAAATTAGTATTACTAACTGACATTACAATAGCCAATTTTCAAGTGCTAAAATAAAAGTGATAATAATTAATTAAATCTATTAAAATGTTAACTTTTATAAAAATGTATATATTTAAATTATATATATATATATATATATATATATATAATGTGTAAAAAATATTAAATGAAAAAAAAGGAGGAAATGAGTGTTAAAATAGGCGCACGGGGGAGAGAAGGAAGGTGGTGGCATGATTAGCGTCGGTGGTGGAGGCAAGGCGTATATGTGACGACCAGTTCAACCCCATCATGCCATTGCTGGCTCCATACATCCTTCTTTATCCTCTTTTTCTTTCTATAATATATATATATATAGAGAGAGAGAGAGAGAGAGAGAGAGAGAAAGACAGAGAGTTCGAATGATAATAAAAGTTATGGTTTGAAGCATAAGAAAAGATTTACATTTTTGGATCAATCTTAATTGAATATCGACATTAATAAAGTGCACTGAAATACACCGGATCAATTATTTTCTAAAGCCCAATTCGTAGGTGAACATGTAATTAAAAGTAACCAAGAGTTAAAGATATTTTTTTACATTTCCCACAATAATTTCATTTCTCATGCAATCATTCGCATGTATATATATATATATATATATATATATCTATGTATATGTATATACATATATATGGAAGACGTTTCAAATGCAACCAATCACATTTGTACAACCAATACAACTCAATCAATTGAGATACTTATGGAAATAATGAGAGTTCATTTATTATGATTAATACTTTAAATTAGGAAACAACCTAAACTTTTATAAAATCACATATTCATCAAATAAAATGGACGGTTGAGATTGAGTTGTATTAATTATACAAATGTAAAAGCTTGCATAATAACCCATATATATATATATATATATATATATATATACATACATATATATATATATAGAGAGAGAGAGAGATGTGTTATTATACAACCCTTTACATTTGTACAACCAATACAACTCAATCTCAACCGTCCATTTTATTTGATGAATATGTAATTTCATAAAAGTTTTGATTGTTTCATAATATAAAGTATTGATCATAATTAATAAACTATAGTCATCTTTCATAAATATTTAAATCATAACAAATGAACTTTCATCATTTTCATTAATATCTTAATTGATTGGGTTGCATTGGTTGTACAAATATATATGATTGCATTTGAAATATATCATATATATATATATATATATATGTGGGTTCAATGGAAAGCCCTAAAGGCTAAAGAAACAAAAACTGAGTAATACTTTGGTAACCATTCATCTGTACTGTATATATATATATATATATATATATATATATACCAGACAAATTGCTTATAAATTATTTGTATGCATATGTAAACACTGTACAAATGAACAATACTAGGATATTTCTTAGTTTTTCATTTTTTTACGGTTTTACCTTAAACCAAATCCTATATATAAATATAACATATTAATTAATTTACGATATTAAAAAAATAAATATCTTTAGAACTAGTAAGTAAGATTTAAAATTTGAACAAATGTTCCAAATTTTAACGACCAACTAACTTTTATTTGAAAAAAAAAATACGAGGATCAAAAGAATTAGATGCTTTAAATACTTAATTATGATCTCTTGTTGTCTAAATGAATAAAACAGGAAATGCAAATGATTTACTCTAAATATAAAGTGGATTAAGGTCATTTTTTGTTATTTATAACGTTTAAAAAGACAATTGGTTTAATTAGCAACATTTCTATACACAAGACAAAGATAACTGTGTCGATGATCATACGGTTTTGAATCAAGAAACGTTAGTTAACCGAGAATTTTAGGTCGATAGTTACACATTCGATACGTGTAATCTATGTGTGGGAAGGTCTTGATCAGTTGCTGGTGGGTTGGTGTTAGTCACCACATATATTTAGGGCAAAAAACTCTTGCCCACCAATTCAGCCCCCATCCGATAGTGAAAGACAAAGATAGCTGATACACATGATCATCATACAACAAACATCTCTCTCTCTCTCTCTCTCTCTCTCTCTCTCTCTCTCTCTCTCTAGCCTTTACTTACCCATATGTCATCATCTCTCATCATGAGGGTTTCTTGTCTCACTTTCTCTCTCTACACATACCCTCATAACTCTTCTTCTTCAACCTTCTCACCTTATATAACCCTAATCCATTATCCATCCTCTTGAGCTTTCCATTTTTAGCACCTTCAATTCCCATCCAATCAGATTCTTTTGCCTTGGGGTATGAATGGTACAAGAATAGGTTCAAATCCCAAGGACAAGACGATATCTTTCTTGTGATTTTCTTGAAACCCTAATAAATTCTGAAGTCTGTAATTTTGAGTTGCTATATGCTTGGAGGAACTGCAGTACTCATCACGTCCAAAAAGATCAGATTTTTCTTAAGTTGCCCACATCGATTTCGGTCTTGTTTGTAAGTCTCCCCATCCTTCAATTCTCGATTGAAATTTAAGTATTTAATATCCGATCATACTTCATCAAGGGTCTTTTAGTAGATTGATCGATCATACATCTGTGTGTCTGTATAAGATAGCAATGGTGGTTGAAGTATATTGAAGTTTTTCATTATCGCATGCAACCTAATTATCACATGGAGCTCTAGCTTTTACTTTTGTTTTATAAGCTTTTTGTCTTCTTTTAGATTTGTTCATTTAGCCGAAAGCTATCATCGACCATGAAGAGCTTGCTCTATGCACTGTGCTGATCGAACATAATTTCTTTATATATATATATATGTGTGTGTGTGTGTGTGTGTGTGTATTGAGAAAGTTTATGATCATTAGAAGCTTGATCTTTGATTTTGATTCATATTTCATGTAAGTGAACTTTAAGGACATAAACTAGGCTGCATCGCAAAACAATAAGTTTTCTGTTCGATCTGATCAAATTGGCCGATAAAGTTAAGAAAAAGTTGCCATTTCGTTCATTTTTTCAAGTGGTTGAAGCTTTCTAGCTAGGTCAATTTAGAGTTACCGATTCCAAATCCCACCATTTGGATTAAGTGCTCGTTGAATTACCGTATCGTGGGCATAAATGTTACTTCTGATCTATAAAGTTTTGTTGGTGGTTAGAAGAGTTTATGCCAAAAACATCTGTGGTTCTTGCTCATTGTTGGTCTTTTGAACATTGCCTACTATGCCAAATACAGATGCTTCGATTGTAGTAGGGATCATCGACAAATTTAGCTACAAATTGAAGGGTTAGATATTGTTCTTCAGTTAATGATCGATGTTCACCTGCACTTCTTTGATAAGATCAAAATATTTCAATTTTCATATAGCCTTGATTTGTTCATAATTATATGAATCTTCATTTTGAATCTTCCATTGCTTTGAGTAGAAGCATTAATTCAGCTTAGAGCACAGTGGTTTCAAGTGGCATTAATTTTATCCTCAGTTTTACTCCACTTGCTAGAGTTGATTAACATATACTGAATGGCATTAATTAGTCACTAATATCTTTCATGTTTATTGAATGGGAAATTTGGAACTAAGATTCATGATTAATGGACACTGAGAGGATCAAGTTGGATGAATAAGAACATTAGATGCAAAAATCTCGGTTTAATTACATGGCGGTTGCATTTTTCTTTGCAATTTTATGTCTCTTTGTGTATCAATGGTGAAACTTAACTGTAAACTGATCAAGATTCAAGATGACGAACGAATTGCAGGTCTCAGGTTCTAAATAGAAAGGGAAAACATGAACACTTTTTCACATGTTCCCCCAGGCTTTCGGTTCCATCCAACTGATGAAGAACTCGTGGATTACTACCTTAGGAAAAAGATTAACTCGAGAGCAATTGAATTGGACGTCATCAGAGATGTCGATCTTTACAAAATTGAGCCATGGGATCTTCAAGGTATACATATATACTAAGCTAGTAATGTGGAAAACATTGTCAACTATTCAGAATTTCTTAACAACTTATTCACAATTAATTACTTAATATTTCAACATATACCATGATGTTTTCTTGCTTGAGAGATGCTAATTTGTAAACTTAAATAGAGTTATGCAGACTAGGTACAGAAGAGCAAAATGATTGGTATTTCTTTAGTCATAAAGATAAGAAGTATCCAACGGGTTCTCGCACCAACAGAGCTACCGCAGCTGGATTTTGGAAGGCAACCGGAAGGGATAAGGCTATTTACTCTAAGCAAGATTTGGTTGGAATGAGAAAGACATTGGTCTTTTATAAAGGTCGTGCACCTAATGGACTAAAATCGGATTGGATCATGCATGAGTATCGCCTTGAAACCGATGAAAATGCAACCACAACACAGGCAAGTATTCTAAGATCAAAATTGTTAGATTTTGCTTCTCTTGGAGAAAATCAATCTTCACAATTCAGCATAATGCAATATTCTTTTATATTTGAAAACAGGAAGAAGGGTGGGTGGTATGTAGGGTGTTCAAGAAAAGACTACCCACATTAATGAGGAGATCAGCAAGTGAGCATGAACCTATGTGGTACGATGATCATCGAGTCTCATTCATGCCAGAAATCGACTCGCCTACACAGAATAACATTCGACCCAACTTGGATAACAGTATTAATTACCAATACCCTTATGGTTCTTGCAAGAAAGAACTAGATCAGATGCAAAATTACCAAGTTACCCCAGGTCACTGCATCCAACTCCCTCTTCTAGAGGGTCCAAAACTGCTCCCAAGCTGCAATTCTTCAATGCCCATTTACGGTATCGACATAAACCAAGGAATCATTAATTTGCAGCCTTCCTTGCTCACACAAGACCATAACAACAATATCCAACAACATCAAGGCCAAAACTTCAATGATCAAATGACGGATTGGCGGGTTCTTGACAAGTTTGTTGCATCACAATTACTTAATCAACACGGTGATGTTTCAATCAAGGGAAATCATGAGGAATCCTACCCAAATGCAGAAGAACAAATAGCAGTGCCAGAAGGAGCATCAAATTCCATCTCCAGTTGCCAAATAGATCTGTGGAAATAATGGGAAAACTCCTTTTTTCCTTGAAATTATTAATCACAAAATATAGGAGAAGCAAAGTCTTGTTATTTCTTTGTACATAATAAAAGACCTAAAGTACTCCATGTGTAACCTAATTAACTTTGTACCTAGCTTATATAGAGTATTATGCCCCTTGATTAGCACTCTCATTTATTTATTTGATGGGCATTATTGTAACTAAAACCATCAAGATAGGTATTGAAGGTGCTGCTGATTACTTGGGATCACAGCATTGTCTGTTATTTGTAATGGGCTTCATTATGTTGCTCATAATTTGCAGCTGCATGCGCTGTTATTTTTCTATAAAACTGTTTTCTATATGATAAACATAACTTTTAACAGTGGTAATTATGGTTAACATCATGTTCCAATTTTTTTAATGACCCAGGGAAACCATGCGTCAAGTGATAAACTTTTATCATCCATTTAACTATCCACATAACATTCTCCAATATCTTGAAGGCTGAAGATCATTAAAATATATGTTTCAGTGTCAAATTTGATGAAGAACAGCAGAAAAGAAGAAATCTCTATGTAGAAGGCAATCTTGATCAATTTCGTAACCCCATAAGATTTAAAACTTCAATCTTTATAACGACAAATCTTTTCATGAGAAGATATGTATGATATTTGATTGAATATGTGATGAATTATATCCCTTCAATGTGTAGAAGAGTGTAGGCCTGCAGATCATATCGGTTATTCAACTAACAAAGTGCATATCAACCGAATATGATAGTTACAATACCAAATCTTTTTAAATATTTTACCCATCATATATATTTGGATTGGTTCAGATAATGTCATGTTGCCCTTTTGGGTCATATATAAAAGATTGCAATATGTATGCTTAGAAATGAAGTTTGCCTCAACACATGGGCAGATAGGGAGGGGGTGAATGTGGGGGAGAGAGAGAATTAATGCTTGCTGGTTACATATAATTACTCAACAGAACTTTCCTTTGAAGGCAGAGGAAAATCATCCTTTCTCTTTTCTGATTTGTGACAAAAAGTTCTTCACAAAATATTGTGGATACTTTTACTTCAACCTTAAAAGGGAAGACAAGTGTCAAATAAATTGCCGTAAAAATGCCAATTCGAATCATACATTATCGAATAAAACTGATGCAAATGCGTTTATTACTATATATGCACGACAAAGATTTCATCCGTCGGAAGTGGTTAATTAATTTTCCCTAGTCTTCCATAAGAATGGTTAATCAGCATGCAATCAATCAAAATGAATGTGGTTGATATAAGTCGAGAGATTGCACTACGCATATCGTAACAAATTACTGATAATTGAACCTATATGTTGAGCACATGAAGTTGAAGAATTTGTGAAACCATATATACTCTAAATTCAAGAAAATATACAGTGCAAGAGACCAAGAGAGTGAGAATAAAGATAAGAAAGAGGCAAGAATAGTTAACAGTAGGTGCTAATGGAGAGATCAACTGTATGTTAATTGCTTACCCATGAAAGAAAGCAAAAGCACAAGCATGCATGCATGGAGCCAGCAGCCTGATCATCAATATGCATAAAGGATCAATGACTGCATGCTAGTTCTATTGCTATTTGCTAGCCAGCTTGTTTTATGTTGCCTGCAGAAAAGTGGTCCAGAACTTGGATAGAAAATGTATGAAAGATTGGATATATATATATATATATATATATATATATATATATATTATATTATATATCTATATATAGACACATACATGTGTTGTTTGGGTGGTGGGGAAATCAAAATCTTGGTAAAGCAATCCAGACACCCAACATGTATCATTGATCACCTTGTCTCTTCTCAACACTTGGACCCTCAAATTCTTTGGATTGACTTTAAGAAAAGAATGCAATCCAAAAGTTTAGAATTTGTCGGTTTATGATATTTGTAAACTAATTAAATTGTTGATGTCATATATATACTAAGATTACTAAACAATTACTTCTATATATATATATATATATATATAGAGAGAGAGAGAGAGAGAGAGGTGTTAAAGGAAACCAAAAAATAAATAATGAAAAAACGAATATCACATATGTACATGTATATATAAATAGTTGAAGTTGTTTCTTGGTTTTTATGCACTTGTTCATATCGGATAAGTTGCTTACAAATTACTTGTATGCATATGTATATACTGTCCAGATAAGTGTTTCTTAGTTTTTTATTTTTTTATTGCTTTTCACTAAACCTGATCATATATATATATATATATATATATATATATATATATAGGGGTTTAATCAAATGAGAACTGAATTGTTTGTGGTAACTGTGAGAACCAATCTCAACCACATGTTATAATAATCAATGGGTAAGATTAAAAAGAATCTTAATTAATGTATTTCTATAAATAAATTACTGTCATTTAATAACATTATATGAACAAGGGCAAGATGGTCATTTTGTACGTTAATATTCTTGTTCAATTGGAATCCAAATATAGTGAAGATACTTTCCTGTATTTGAGACGGAGACGATTGCCTTAAGCCCTAGAGTAATCTCAATTTGTGCTACATTGTGGTACATTTAGTGTTGATCATAATCTGTTG